CCCCAAAACCCCAAAACCCCAAAACCCCAAAACCCCAAAACCCCAAGCCCTTTAAATATTATTGAAACATTTAAAATAAGATGTTGAGAAACTTCTTTGGATTGTTAGGACTGACCCTCGTCTTAGCAGCCCTTATCGTATTTATTCCCTCATTCCTTAATGAAGCTGCTGAGAAAGAACAAGTTGCTGTAGACCTTGTCACGGATATTGATGCTATGCAAGAGCAAGAATCAACGTTAAATACTTGTTCAGGAACGACCAGCAGTAATCAGGAATGTCAAGGCAAACCCATAGAAGATAACCAACTTGGAGCAGAAAGTGAGCAGACCTGAAAGTACATTCAAAGCTTTATGAAGATCTCAGAAGATATAAAGGTCGATGAAGATTGCCACATTGGTGTAGGATATACCCAAAATTTAGACTGGAACATAGAAGCTTCCCAATTCTTTGAAATTTATGATGGTGCAGAATTCATGGAGGATCTTGAGGCAAAGGAGCACGATAAAATAGATACGCATAAGAAGTTCATTGAGACCTTTTTGTACTTCTTCCAAGACGGGATCTCCGCAGAGAGGGTTACAGCCAACCCACAAGTGATTAAGGATATTAGTAAGTATTTTTATGAATCTTTAGTGAAATGGCTCGTTGAGAAAAACATTACTCATACTACTGAGGTTGGAGGTCACGCACCAAAATTTGCTGATAGGATAGAGGAAGAAGGATGCAAAGTCTTCTTCTTGAGAGAAGATTTAAGTAGACCTGTTAATACTACCTGAAGCGAAGGTAAGCAACCTTATTCAATTTTAGATGAAGACCCAAAGCATTTTGAAGGGAATCAAGAGCAAGATACAGACGATCATATTTGTATTTTATATCATAGCGGTGAAAAGCATTTTGGATATGAGTCTCCTAGAGCAAACAGATTTTATTTTATCTATGATCCTAAAGGATCAAAGTTCGAGAAAGTTGAGAAGTATCATGAGTTAATTGATAATATGGAGGATGGAGAAAGACCGGAGAGACATATGTTCGCTGGATATCAATATTTGGAAGGTTCTCCAAAAGAAAAGACTAGGGCTAGGTTTGAAACCATGGAGAGGAAATGGGCTGAGATGAAAGAACAAGACCCTCAACATACTATACATGCTGAGTTAGCTCATTTTAACCTTGACCATACACTCCATTTTGTTATGAAACATCTATTCAAATTCACTGATTCACTTGGCCTCAATGAGCACGAGATGTATTCTCTTTTAAACCAATATATCTTTTATTATAACAGGGATCATCCTGACGAGGATCAGATCCCTGAATATGAAGCTCATAATTCAAGATTGACTCCAAATAACTCCCTTCACCTGATTAATGACCTGATCACCAAGTACCTTCTAACTGATGATAAAAACATAATTTCGAGAATCCAATACCATACTCTTGGACATATGGTGACATGTTACGATCCTGAAAAGTGGGAATCTGGAGAAGATTCCTTGTTTAGGTCCGGGTACACCTCTGCTGATTACTGTAACATCCCAACTAAGGAGGTTGAGCCTAATATTTGTAAATCCCACAGCTTTAAAAAGTAAGACCCTTCCTTTATTTCATAGGCTTGACCTACAAGGACTCCCAGAAGGGATGAAACTAATAGATCGTGAGTATACTTTTTCCAAAGCTCATCTACAAGAAGGAGTTGAGACTCAAGATTTGATCCAATACATCAAAATAGAAGGATCACCCTTTATCTGCGGTATAATCTCCACACCTACATGCAAAGACCCCTCTAAGCTTTCTGGGCTCGGAGATAATATCTCGTCAACTGGATTTACTTATCAAAGCCGTAAGTTTATATAAAGAGGATTCAACACTTGTAAACAACTCAGGGGTTTTGGGGTTTTGGGGTTTTGGGGTTTTGGGGTTTTGGGG